TGTTGTTGGCTTCGTGTTAGTTGGTCTAAGTGAAACTGGGGAGAGAAATTATGGAGTAGTTGTTTCGAGGGTGAACGGGTTTTTTTGCTATGGTCAATATTAAAGTCACCTAACAAAATGAGCTCGCTGTTATTTGGAAGTTTGAGAATAATATTGCTCAACATGGATAAGTAGTTTTCAAGAGGATTGTTCGGTGCTCTGTAAATACAACAAATAAACAGTTTCTTAGATTTAACTCTTAAAACTTCAATCATACAGTTTTCGAGATCGTTATTCATCAAGTCCGAATGGTTTTTAAAAGGTATACCATCACGAACATAGATGGCAGTACCACCACCGATTTTGTTTTGACAGTCCATTCGTATAATTGAATAACCAGGTAAAGCTACTTCGGAATCTGAGATATCGGGTTTAAGCCATGTTTCGGATGCTGAGAAGATGTCGAATGGTTTATCCTTCATTTCTAATCGAATTTTAGGTAAGATGCTTCGGGTATTTAGATGAGAGATTTTTAACCCACGTACATTAGGTGGAGATATGGAGAAGTTACATGTGGGACCAGGATTAGTTGCGATATCATTTGATAGAGATATAAGGATCATAGAAATGGAAAAATTCATGGCGACGTGAAGTCCGCGCATTAATTTCTTACTTGGCGAGACAAGGCTGAGACAAGTAGAAGTTGCATGAGAGCGTCGGGGATTGTGTAAATGAGAGTATTCCGTCATGTTAGGGGTTGATAATAACTGAGACACGTACAATGATTCATAGTTGCAGGCTTCAGGTGTAGTTACGGTCATTAAGTCTCTGCTTAAGTATGATAAGTTGAGGTATAAATGTAGAATGACTAGCAGGTTGCGTGGGGTGAAAATCAATACAGCAAAGGCCATAGTCAGTAATGAGATGAACTAGCTAGCTAATTTATCACCATAATTATATGATCAACGCCGAGTCCAAACGAAAAAATTTGAGTCACATGACTACCCTTGTAATTTAATGCAAAATAAATCAGATACGAAATGGAATTTATACTGATATGAAAGGCCCTGTACAGTAAAACGATGAAATTAAAGTTATTTCTTGCAAGGCTAAATTTCATTGGCTGCTATGCACATCTAATTTATCGGCCCAGAAACCTCACACGATTAATTTTGCTAAATTGAATGATGATCGCTTTTAAAAAAGTAACTGTATCTCAACGATAGGTAAAATCTGCGCTTTTTTTTCACCAACTCAAAATTCGTAACAGTCGCTACGGTTAGTTTGTTTTTCGGTGTTTAAATTAATTGTATTTCGAAATCTAATAATCCTTAATTTTCCTCCGGGCTAATTGATCGTATGCGCAGATTAAACACTCCCACATGGGCGTACGGGCCTTATCTTGTTTGGGGGGGGGGGCACAGTATAGTTTGCCCGAACAGGCAAACTAAACATTCATATTTCTCCCCAAAATTGCTGGCGAGCAGGAGTCACCAAAAAAATGTTTCCGGACATACCAAAATATTTTTCCGGACATACCAAAAGCTTGTCTGCAAACATATATATAACATACGAAAATTTTCCCTAACTTCACGTAATTTTCGCAAATATACTAAAAATATTTCAGGACATATCATAATTTTTCCGAAATTTTTATGTTTTGCCCGAATGTCGCATTGATTTTTGCCCTCCAGTACAAGGTCACTAAGAACTACCTACGGTAGGTGGTCAACCAGCGATTATATATCTAAACTGAAAAAATGATGTTAAGCTGTTAACATTTCTGAATTTGACCATCATCTGCCGGCCCTTAACTAGCTACGAGTGAACCGAGTCAGTTGACTCGGTAGGAATTTGGGGAATGAAATTTAAACATCGCTAGAAACCTAACCCATGGCTGAAATAACTTGCTTGTGGAAAAAGGCATGAAATGGCATTTTAGGACGAAATTCTAGTTCAGTTTTTCCAAGCAAAGATACTCCAAAGAGACCACCCTATCTTGCTCTTCAGTGACACTGAGAAGACGAATGCGTCGATCGCGATATCAAGTACCCAATTCATGTAATACAGTACTGTAGAATTTGAAGTATGGTGAACGATAATACTATGCGACGCACATTTTCATTACTGCATCATCACATCATGTTGCCTTATTGGGACTGGATTACATTTGGGAGACTGTAAAATTGCAGTAATTAAAATTGCAGTGTCACTGTTTATAAGGTTAATTCCTTGTTGGAATTCTCCTCGAAATGCTGGAAAAAGCCTATCCGAGCTTCAAGAAATCCAAAATTTTCTGGGGGAGATGTCCCCAGACCCCTCTAGGCGGCTCACACCTTCGGTGTTAAAATTGGTTGTCTCAGAATCCTAGTTACGGGTTTGATCTGCTGCCCTATGACGTATACTTATTAGCTAAACCATACATATATATTCTGATTTCTCCAGGTCCCCCGCGAAATATGCCCCCCTAGTTACACATCCTTAAAAGTGGCCCTGTACAAGAATGAGATCAATTGTTGTGTGCTTTCTTACCGTTGCTGCTATACTAGCTTGAAAAATTATCCACTTTTAAACTAGATATTAAATATGTGTTCCAGCCGAGGTTCTAACCGTGGTGGCGTATTACGTTTATATGAACCTAGCTGTCCACCTCGTCACGAAAAACCGATCTCTGGTAAGTAGTTAAGATTCCAAATAGTTGTAATGCGTAAAGAGGAATTTTTGCATTCCCCAAGCATGAAACTCTATTTGACGGCTCGATGCACTCTGAGAAATTCTAGAATTTCTCACACTAGATACAAGAAGTCAGTTGATCCATCAGACTAAAAAGAAGATAAGACAAAGTTTTCCTTCGCGCATTATGAACGACAATATTGAGATTTAGAAAAGGTGAAACGGCATGAAAGAGGTTATTGACTCTGCACATGTAAAAACGCACAGGTTGTTATAGGTCTGCAAACAAGTTGTTACAAATCTGTTCACAAGCTGTCGGTTGTTGGCAGCTGGTTTGGGTGCTTGCATTGTTATGCAAGAATCGTAACCGGTCGCCTTGTCCGACAGCTGTCGTTGTAACAAGTTTGGAGCAAGTTGTTAACAACTTATAACAAGCTTGACGGCATTATCGGACTTGTTACAAGGTTGTTCTAACAAGTCTGCATACAGTCATGATATAACAAGAACGTTACAAGGTTGACGACATATGGTTGTAACAATATTGTTATATCGTGACTGGATCGGACTTCTTAGAACAACCTTGCAACAAGTCTGATAATATCAACAAGGTTGTTGCAACTGTTAACAGCTTGTTCCAAACTTGTTCACAACTTGGGACAAGCAGTGCGAACACAACTTGTTGACGCCCGCAAGATGTGAGATTTTTATGCGTGTAATCTTGAATGTATTTCGTCCTTCTTGCAACGGGGCAGTTGAGACTGACTGCTCACGAAAACAATCTGTTTGTACGATTAATTTCGTCTTATGCCGGTATGCGAGAAGAACGACTCCAAACAGCCAGACAGCAGTCGAGTTTAGCGTACCTTAAACTATGCTTACATGAGGGGGATGAATTCAGAACTGCACGAGGGTGCGATAATCCAAGATTTTTAGTCGTACACACGTAGAAATCTCACAACTTGTCAACAAGATGTGTTCGACACAGGCTTGTAGCAAGCTTGTCAACAAGTTGTAACAATGTTGTTATTTTATCAAGTTGCTACAAGGATGTCACTCACAACTTGTTGACAAATTGTTGAATTACAGGACGATAACAAGTTGTTGGAACAACTTGTAACAAGCCTGCTGAGCTCAAAAACCTCGTAGCAAGTTGTCAACAAGCCGTTGACAACTTGTCAATTAACAAGCTGGGAACAAGCAGTGCGAACACATCCTGTTGACAACTTGTTGGAACAACATTGCAACAAGTCTGCTGTAGCTTTGTTACAACTTGTGCGTTTTTACGTGTTCTTACAAACTCACACAAAGTACAGATGTCTGAAAGGCATTCAAACTACGAGCACAATTGTATATATAAATACTGCAATCGAAATCCCATCAGTGCAATCATGTTTCATTCCAAAACATGTCAAATTTACACATATACGAACTAAACTACGGTTTTGAATCCTTAGCATGGTACCACCACAAAAAGAAAGCACGCAAATAGCAAGAGTTCCGCGTACCTACGTGGTTGAAAAGAAAGAAGTACCAAACCGTAATATTAGAGAGTTTAAGTTCGACTTCCAATACCAATACCGATGTTTTCACTTCCGTTCTCATTTTGGTACTGGGGATTTTAAAGCGTTAAGTTATCACGACAGATAAAGTATAGAACACATTAATCTTCACCGAAAATGTGCGGTATACTAAACGGCAGCCGAGCTAAAATTCCGACTAAAACATGACTCAGGCGATGCTAATAAACAAATATAGTTAACATGGTTACTCTAAAAATTATGAAATATCCGATTTATGAGTTTATCTTACAATTCCCCCGACTCCCAATTCAAGGCCGACTTCGGTAGTGGTGTCTTCCAATACACTTGTCCTCGTGCTTCGTGCAAGCAGAGAGCATGCGCGTGACATGTTGTTAGTATCGGTATTGGTATCGGAAGTCGAACTTAAACTCTCTATTCGTAAGTACGCGAATTATTGCATCCTGCTAGATTGCTAGATGTGCATGAGTTTCATTGTTGTGATCACGTATAGGACACATGTGCTCATTGGATGAACTGCAGTATACACGTAGAAACGCACAAGTTGTTACAGGTCTGCAAACAAGTTGTTGCAAATTTGTTCACATGCAAGCTGTGTACAAATTGTGTTTGCACTGCTTGTTCCCAGTTGTTGTACCAAGTTTGGAACACGCTGTTCACGACTTGTAACAAGCTTGATGGCATTATCAGACTTATTACAAGGTTGTTCTAACAAGTCTGATACAGTCATGATCAATAACAAGAAGGTTACAAAGTTGACGGCACAAGGTTGTAACAATATTGTATCATGACTGGATCGGACTTGTTGGAACACCTTGCAACAAGTCTGATTATATCAACGAGGTTGTTACAAGTTGTTAACAGCTTGTTCCAAACTTGTTACAACAACTTGGGACAAGCATGCAGTGCGAACGCAACTTGTCGACGCCCTGCAAGATATGAAATTGTATATGTACTCTTGTATATACATTCATTCCTTCCTGCAACGGGGCAGTTGAGACTTGAGTGCACAGAAAATAATCTGTTTGTACAATTAATTTCGTTCTTATGTCAGTATTCGAGAAGAATGACTCCAAACAGCCAGACAGCAGTCGAGTTTAGCGTACCTTAGATCGACTATGCTTACATGAGAGGCCAACGCCAGGCAATCAAATTTGCATGCGTTCCCTTGTTTCGATCACATAGTTTGCTAATAACACAATCAAAAAAGGTCATATGTGAATTTTAATGGCTTATAACATTTCTTCTAGGATCTTCCCAGTGCGAATTGATTTCGTTGGCTAGAGATCTACTTCACAGAGAAAACCAGAGGAAAGAAACTAGCAAATATGCATCCAGCTTGGGTGATAGCACTTTTTATTCACTTTAAAAGTTACAGCATATGTAAAGTGGTTCATTGATTTCGTTACATAACTGAATGCCTTTAAAGTTCATTATCGAAACTCATTGAGTTATCAAGAAAATTCAGAAGAAATGAGTTTATAAATGTCTTCAACAGTTTCCTCAAGATTTCGTCTTCCATAATATTGAACCTTGAGGAACCCCGCACTTAATAATCCGTTCGGTGGAATGGGTCTCACTGAACTGGACAAATTGTAACTCCTATTAGAAAAATGGCTTTTTATACATTGCAATGCTATACCACGGATACCATATATAGTGTTCCAACTTAGAGAACAAAATTTGATGATCAAGGGTGT